AAATAAAGTAATAATAATAATAATAATAATAATAATAATAATAATAATAATAATAATAATAATAATAATAATAATAATAATAATAATAATAATAATAATAATAATAATAATAATAGTAATCACGACGACGACGACGACATGTTAAATATTAATAAATATTAATAAGCTTAAAAAAAAAAAAAAAAGAAGAGTGAAATATATAACTGACACGTTCAAACAAATTTTTGAATTAAATAAGAAACCATAAAGTAATAAGAATTTTATTTATGAATTTATATTAGTAGTGCCAACACCATAAAAAAAAAAAAATTTTCTAGAAAGTGAGATTACACGAATGAACAAAACAAACATAGCTCCTGTCTATATTCGCAAAATAAATTCTATTAAAATTTTAATATTTATTATTCATTTTACTATTATTTTATACGAATGAAAATTTTACTTTCAATATGCGAATATTTTTTTTTTTTTTTGAAAATGGTAAATTTAATCGTTTGTTTCTTTTCTTTACTCTTCTATATCTCTCTCTCTCTTTTTCTTTCAAGAAGATAAAATTTTAACGTTTTTTTTCTCTCCCTCCCTTTTTTTTTTTTTTCTTGAACAAAGAATAAAACTCTTAATAAGAATTTTCTTTTTTTTTTTTTTTCTTTATCGCAACGAACTATAATCATTTTGCAGCAGAAGAAAAAAGTTTCGAAATAAATTTTTTATTCTTTTTTCTTTTCGAAAAAAAAAAAAAAAAACAAAAGAAATAAAAAAAAGAAGAGAGGGAAATTCGTTTTCAATACGTTCGAAATTATTGATGATGACGAAACGAATGAACTTGCGGGGAAATTTTTTCCCCGTAACTTATTTAAAATTCTCCTTAATTTTTTAAAATAACGAAATATTTTATTAAATTTTCTTTTCTTTCTTTCTTTCTTTTTATTCTTTTCATTTTTTCTTTTTACCTTTTACCTTTTTTTTTTCAAAGTTTTTATTAATAATAATAATAATCAACATTTACTGAACCCTATTATTATTATTTTTTTAATAAATAAAATTTTTCCTGACGTGTTTTGTAACGGCTTTTTTTTTTATTTCCTTTCCCCCCATCATTGTTATTCATTATTTATCCATTCATAATTTTTTTTATTTATTACAAATAAACCAAAAGCGAAACATTCATTGAATATTTTTCAAAAGAATAATTTATAAAATAAAAACAAAAAAATAAAACATAAAAATATGACGTGGATGTCGAAAAAACAAAAAAACCGTTAAGAAAACATTTGAGAAAGAGGTAGGAGGAGGGAAAAGAGAGGCGGGGGAATCAATTTTTTGACATTTAACATGAATTACAATAAAAATTTTTCCTTTTTTTTCTTTCATATCAATAGCTTTATTATCAATTTCTTTTCAATTAAAAAAATTTATTTTGAAAAAACGAAAGACGAAGAAAAACGAAAAAAAGCAAAAATGATCGTTTAAAAAAAAATAAATAAATTTCGCGATTTTTTTCGACGACGGGGCGACGACATTAATCACTCCCACACACACACACCCCCACCCACCAAATGTTAAAAATCACGTACAACAATCCCGACACCATTTTGTTTTTTGCGATAACTTTCAATACTCACCCGTAAATAAATAAATTCAAACCGGAAATATAATTCAAAATTCCATTCCTGTAACATACAGACATCAATATTTTTCTTTCATTTTCATTATTATTATTATCGATTAGTATTTATCATAACATTATCATCCCTTCTTTTCATTATTATTATTATTAATAAAAAAAAATGAAAAGAAATATACGAAACGTGTTGCTAAGTAATAAATTATTTTTTTTCCTTACGTTATAATAAAATGATTAATAATTTAAAGAGACATTTTTTTTTTTTTTTTTTTGAATTATAAAGAAAGACATTTTGGAAAAAAAAAACCGTTAATAACGAATAATAAAATAATTTTCATTAATTATACATTAAAAAAAAAGAAAAATTTTTTTTTTTTCACACGAGAAATAAATAAAAAAAAAAATGTCGGAAAAGTTAATTGAAAAAAAAAAAAAAAATTAAATACGCCAAATAATAAATTATTATTTTCTTTCTTTCTTTTTCTTTTTTTATTTCTTTCTTTCTTTTCTTATTATCATTATCATTATCTAACGATTTTATCACTTAATAACATTTTCCGATATGCATATCTTGAAATTATCTCCCAAAAAAAAAAAAGCGGAAAATTTCCAAATAATAAAATGCACAATCGGAAAATAAATAAACGCATTAACAC